AATCCTCTGACTGTCCGACCTCCACGAGTACCAGGAGGAGTAAGTATTTTATACATGTTCAGGCTGAGCTGGTATTTTCTTTAAAAAAAAAAACCCTTCCTAGCCCATTTTCTCCTCAAGGATTTGTGCTCAGTGTGCTCAGATTATCTTGCACCATCAGTTAGAAAATACTGAGTCACTGAAGACTCAGTAAGTTACCAGGATCCAACTATAATCACACAAACTCCTAGGTCAGAGGAAGAAGCTCAGTCAATGTCTTTGGCAGGCAGCTTTTGAGATCAGGGCCATCCCACTGCATGAGGGTAAAGCTAAGTGTTCTAATCTTCTATTCCACAAATTGGCAAAGTTAAGAGAAGAAGCTGAGTGAAAATGCACCTGGACTGGGTCCCGTTCCTGAGTAGCACTGACTTGCAGACGCCACAGGCTAACCTTGCCAAACCCAGCCATGGACTTGGTACACTGGCCTTCTCCGCACACCCACTTGGAATGTGTTCAGGAGCCCAAATGTGGGAGTGAACACAGGTTTTCCACCATGAGACAGAACTACACTTCTCTCCTGGCCGGTGGGTGCTGAGGAATTACACTTTAAAGAAAGGCAGGGGAGAGGGAGCCAAAAATTGCTTGAGCAGATTCTGTACCTTGAAGTCAGGTCCTCCCTTCTGGATGTTTCTGCCTTACTAAACTGTAATCACAAAAGCAAATCAAGGGGAAGGCACACGGGTGAAAAGCGCTCCTGGAATCTTCCATCTTGCTCCCAGAACAACCAAGGCCAGCTCCTGTGAGCAGAGGACCAGCTGTGGGGCCTGGGAAGAAGCCTGGGAAAGGAAGTAGCCCTGCCCAGGGGCAGCAGCTCCTGCTGGGCTCTTCCTGGGCTCAGGTCTGCAGGGCTGGGAGGCAGAGGAGGGAGGATAGCCAGGGCACACTGGGGGTGGGGCGGGGAGAAGCTGCCAGGGACGGGGAGCTGGGGCTGGCAGCACAAGGCATTTTGTTGCCATGAGTCATTTAAAAAGTACAAAGAGCAGTATGATTTGTAGGTGGTTATTGATAGCTCCAGGCATCCAATCCTTTTAGTTAACAAAGATACAAATCTTAATTATTAATGGTTAAGATGAAAAAACAACTGCCCTGAAGTTAGGAAATTCAAACGGATGGTTTCCTCAGATCCCAGCACACAAAAGAGGGTCTGTCCTGGGAAGTCCGGCTTGCTTGGCCTGTTCCGAAGCCAATTACATTCCGTGTTCTTCCCCACAGAGGCAGCTAAACTCCTGGAGTTCTGCAGGCAGAGACCCCCTGGGCCAGGGGGCAGAAGCCCACCTCTGGCAGTGCTGGTTTTCTGTGAAACAGACTTTCAATAAATGCCCCTAAAGTGATAGTCCAGAAAGACTTGTATTTTCCAGTGGAATGAAACTAAAATTGGTAACACAGGAGAACAGTAGGTTGTAAGGACAAAGACACAGCACTATAAGCCTTCACAATCCGTGGAGTTACGTTAGTTTCTAAGCCTTAGGAAGTGAGTAGAGGTTATTAGACATTGTGAGCATGTAAGAACTCACAACAGTGTGTATTGTGTATATAAGAGACTATTCAACCATGTTACAAATGTCAAGTTCCTGTAGCTATGTGAGTTATAAAATGCATAAACAGAATATATATGCTTACAGGAATGAGATGAGGCACATCCCTTAAAAGGGCTCTTAGGAGACTTTTGAAATGATAATCTTTCAAAAGATTTTTTTTTCAGCAGTTAAAAGTCTGTGACCACTAGGCTTAGTACTGACTTGTAGCTTGAGATACATCTAAAAATGATATCAAATTTATTTTTAATAAAAGCATAGTTCAAAACTTAGAATGGATATTAATTTTAGCAAATGCAACCATGGAGAAAATCAAATGATTGTTTTTGGGTTTTCTTGGTGAAGTTACTGATATATTTTTAATAGTAAAATGTTTCTATTTCTGATTTAATACTCATAAGATCATGGGAATTATTCTTTTAATCTGTTACTGAATCCTACGTGCTAATGTTTTACTTAGATTTCTTGGTATCAAAATCAACAAGACTGGCATGTAGTTGGTTTTTTAAAAAATAAATTTGAAATACTTTGTTCAGTTTTTATGCCAATAAATTCCTTGGTTCCAAAAAACATATTGGGAAGCCTTTCTTCTACCTGTGCTGTGGAAAACTTTGAAGAACATTCTGGATTTATATGTTTCTAAATCTTTTTTACCTGTGAAACCATCTGGGCCTGGTGCTTTTTGAGGGATAGATCTTCAAATACTATGTGAGATTTCTACCCCACTCAAGTCAGTCTGGCACATAATGAGCATTGAAAACTGTTTTCTCTTTCCAAAAATTTTAATAATTCATTTAATTTCCATAGAATTATTTTCCTTTTCTCCTTTTTATTCTGTATATTTATTATAGTCACTTTCCCCATCATATTCAGCTACACATTAGTGAATGATTTATCAATTCAATTGCCTGTTAAAAGGATCATCTCCTGAATTACATCATTTTGTTGTTGATTTTGTTATATTAGGCTTTTATCCTTACAGCTTACTTCCTTCTGCTCTGAGCTGTGTGTGTGTTTGGGTGTGAATTTTTCTACCTGAGTTGAATACACACATTGACTTACTTGCTCTTACTGCATGTACTGTACATGGGTCCTTACCATTGATGTTCCTCTAAGTGCTAACTAGCAGTGTATGTTGTCTTTTGTTTTAATCCTGTCATCCAAAAATAACAATATATAGCATTAAGCTTATGGTATAAATAAATATAATTACCATGTTACTAAATTTTTTTTTTTTTGAGACAGAGTTTTATTTTGTCGCCCTCGGTAGAGTGGCCTGGCATCACAGCTCACAGCAACCTCCAACTCTCAGGCACAAGCAGTTCTCTTGCTTCAGCCTCCCAAGTAGCTGAGACTATAGGCACCCACCACAATACTTGGCTATCTTTTTTGTTTTTTGCTATTGTTGTTTAGCAGGCCCATGCCAGGTTTTGAACCCGCCAGCCCCACTATATGTGGCTGGCGCCCTAACCACTGAGCATGAGCACGGAGCCAATTTTTACAGTTTTTTATTAAATTTTCATTATTGTCATGTTATAAATGCTAGCCTATCATTCTTTCCTCTCTATAAATTTTCTCTCCTAATTTTTTTTTTTTTACAAAATTGGTCATTATATTTCCTTTCCTATAAAAGTTATGCTTTTGCTATCATTTGCTCAACTTTCTATAGATACATACCTTTAAAAAGTTTTATATAATTAATAATAAATAAGTTTTAAAGAATTTAAATAATTAAAACCATTTGAAAGTGACTTTATTTTGGTGTGGGGTAAGGAAGTATCTGGATGCCAGTAAAATTATCTTTATTTTTTCAGTCCAGTGACCTTATTAGGTGTGTTACAGTTATATTAAATTTGAATCCATTTCTCTTGGAAAGGGATTCAGGAGAATCCTTTCTAAGTATCTAGGACTATTGCCTTTTTTCAGGAACATTTTCTTAAATTAAATGTTTATGTTTATTTTTCATTCACATTTTCTGGGCTTTTTTTGGGGGGGGGATACTTTTTATGCATACCTTTTTCTTTTTCTTTTCTTTCTTTCTTTCTTTCTTTTTTTTTTTGAGACAGACAGAGCCTCAAGCTGTGGCCCTGGGTAGAGTGCTGTGGTGTCACAGCTCATAGCAACTTCCAGCTCCTGGGCTTAAGCAATTCTCTTGCCTCAGCCTCCCAAGTAGCTGGGACTACAGGTGCTTGCCACAATGCCTGGCTACTTTTTTTTGGTTGTAGTTATAATTGTTGTTTGGCAAGCCTGGAATGGATTTGAACCTGCCAGCTCTGGTGTATGTGGCTGGCGCCTTAGCTGCTTGAGCTACAGGCACGGAGCTACAGATCTTTTTCTTATCTTATATATTTTCTTCCTTGTCTCATTTCCATGTGTATTGTTTTTCCTAAAACCAATTTGAACTGGTTTTTTTGTCTGAGTTTCCTCAAATCTGCCATCCATATATTTTATTCTCTTTTCTGTGAATTCATTATTCCTCTTTTTCTTTGTATTTTCTGCATCTTTCTTTTTTTCTTTTCCTCTATTTCTTCCATCTGTCAATTCATTTTTTGTCTTTTTATTTCATGTTGGCTTTGAACTCCCAAAGAGGCATTCCTTTTTTCTTTTTCAGAGCCACTCAGACGTGTGAACATGACCACTCCGGGTAAGCAGAGTGTCTCTCTGGACCTCAGGGGAGTTACCACTGCATTGTACCCATATTTCTTTTTTTACTGTGTACCTAGCATAGTATGTGTATTTGTGTTGATTTTTCTTTAGTTGGCAAGTGGTTTTCTAGGTCTGTGAGCTGCCAATGATTCCTTCTCTAGGTGGCTGTATTGCCAAACAGCTTCCTGCACAGACGGCCTCCTGCATGTTTATCCTTCAGTCAATGACCCTGGAACTCTGTGCATTAGGGTGCAGGGAGATGCCGTCAAGTAGTTTTTGCTCTATAGTCTTTTCTTCTGCACCAGGGGTCTTTTGTTGGCCCCTCCAAGCAGGCTGTCTAATTTGGAGAATCCTGTGTGCTCTTACAAGTGGCAGCCCCTTTTCTCACTTTGGTCTAATTCTCACTGGACTTAGCATCTCTTGTTGGGATTATTTGTCATGTTCTGACCATTGGCCATAGGTATTTCTTGGTTTCTAGGAAGATGGAGTTTCCATTTCTGTTTCTCAATCTTTTGTTGATTCCAGTTAATCAGAAATCAGGGGCAGATAGATACATATGTCACCATTTTAAATTGGAAATCACATCGCAGATTTTAAAATATTACGAGGTTCTTCGTTTCTGGCCAGAGCTTATGTTGCCACCAGCATGGCTCTTACAGAACACTTGTGCAAATGGGGCTCGTGATTTGCAGCAGCAACTATTCCAAACCTCCTTTAAAACTTAAAACCTTTGCTATAAAAGGAATTGATATAAATGTTGATAAGTTCGTATGTTCTTACCTCAGTGGTTTGGTAACTAGAAATGCCCACCAAGCGTCTGTCTTCTGCCCCTCCCTCCCTTACACTGCTGGATTGTCTTTCCAGAAGAGGGAGTTGTAGGCTGTCGGACAAACAATTAATCTTCATCAGAAGTTCATCTAACAGATTTGCAAATTCATCCAGGTAGTAATTCTGAAAGGAAGAAAATTAGATTTCAAAAACCTAATTTTCCTTCTTTCCTCATTATCTGAAGCACTCAGAGTACCTACTTGGATGGTGTTGTGTTATGTGAGAAAATGTACCGGACCCTGAAGTCAGAAGACCTGGGTGCTGGGCCTGTCTCATACCCGTGTATCTCAGTAGCTTCGTGTATAATGTACATGTAAAGATGTGCACATAAGTACTATGGTTAACAGGCGAAGGAATCAATTTAAAGGCACTGATGGCTGGTGAGGCACATGACAGAGAGTGGACAAAATCACAATTACATATGGCAGGCTTTGGAACTACGCTGGGTGATGCCTAACTCTCACCCATGGGAGACAGTTGGGTATTCAATATGCAAATACCTGGTTTCATTAGTTTGCATTCACGTCTGGATGGCTGAACTCAAACAAGGCCCCATGTGTTAGGGAGAAGGCTGTGTTTGGTAGTAGGTACCAAAAGCAAATGACTAACTCTAAGGTGGACAGAGTGCAGTGTTCATTCCTGGGGAAGGCCATGAACACGTCATACAGGGCTATTGTAAGAATACAGCGAGGAGAGAGAACATGCTTCGTATACTATTAGGTGTTCCAGAATTTCAAGGGAAAATTATGTGAGTTCCACTGTGGTTAGAAACTGATTTTATGGCTTCGCAATGACATTTGGCACAAAAACACAAGCATGCTTTCATAATGAAGAGCAAAATTTTGCAAGGAAACCATCATCACTAGTGTGCTTTTGTGCTCATTAATTGGACACCCCTCAGCTTACGTGATTCTCAGCCATCTCCACCTCTTCCAACTTTGGTATCTCCAGACCCAAGAAGGTGACAGCCTTCTCCCATGTGTAAGCAGCGACATCTTTAAGTCTCACGAGATATTTACTTTGACTAGATTTTCTTTTTCTGGTTAAAGACATGAGGGAACTTTTTAGCTAAGGAAGAGAAAAAAATAAAGAAAATTTCATGTTAGCTTTGTTAATTTGGTAAACTATAAAATGAAGGTTATATCTGATAATGCTATTTTAACTTTTTGGTAAGATGGTAGTTTCTTGGTTAAAAAAGAAGTCAAGAAAATACCTCTCCCAAATTGAACTAAATAACAGTCAGGTGAACTCAGCCATGGCAATTCTTCGTATTATAAAGGAAACATCCAATATCTAACAGTTGAGGACAAGGTTTTCATCATGATGTAAAATTTGCCTCTCAGGTCCCCTGGGGAGCCACACAGAGGGCTGCGTGAGCCTCACCGTGGCCAGGGAGACGTGAAAGGACAGCGAGCTCCACAGACTGTTCTGTCTTTGTGCTTCCTCTACAGATGGGCCAATGGTGGCCCCTGCACATTAGCCCTCAGCTAGGTTATTTCTTCACTGCAAGCTGAGAGCTAGCAATGCAAAAGCCTCCTGGCACCAAACTCAAATTTTTAGACATCTAATTATTTAAAAAAAATAGCTCAAACAAGCAAATTTTAGCCAGTGAGAGCCTGTCTGCTTTACACACCCTACAAACTCTCATGGGACAGCTGTTACCCATTGTAAGATTCCTAAGCCTCCAGCAGTTGCCTTGGAAACTCTCTGACCCGGAGTCTCCCCTGCCTGCTGCTAAGCAACACCCCCTGTGCTGGGGAGCCGCCCCTCTGGTGGCCTTTCCCACCAAGATTTCCCTCACCCTCCTTCACTGTCCCCTACGCTGTAGGCCTCCGGACAGTTTCACAGTGTGAGGGAGTTTCCTCATGTGGAAATTTGTCATAATATCCCCCAGATGAAGCCTGTGTGTATTGTCTCTCTTTGTACTTGATCAGCCCCCAATCCCTTCTAACAATGTGTCCGAACTCCGAGGCCCAGAAGCCAGAGAGGATAGGCCCCTGGCTACACGCAGAGCTGTCTGTAGATCTGAGGCCTCCAGGATTTACCAGCAAAACAGCCACGCTGGACAGCAGGGCCTGGTTCCTGTCCTCAGAGACCCTGATGCAATATCACCTCCCTATTTCAGATGATGGAATCTAAGGGCCGTACACTGACGTTCCAAGCCCTCTATTCCTGGCCCCAACCACCATTTTCAAATGATGTCTGCTCAACACTCAACTCTAGCATGGCCCTCTCCTTGTACCCCCTGCTCAAAATGCCACTCCCAGCCACGGCTATGAGCTACAGTCCCCACTGAGGCTCAAGTCATACTCCTCTCCTGCTGTGGGAAGATTTCCTGTCCCTTAGAAAGAACAAATAGGTCTCTCATCTAAGCCCCTTATTTTCTGGGGTCTAGTGAGGCTTTGAAACTGCATATGGTTATGCAGGATCTGCACACTGAAAACTATAAAACAGTGATGCAAGAAATCAAAGAACTCGTAAATAAACAGAGACGTGAAGGATTCTAGGATCAGAAGGCTCAGTATTATCAGGATTCTAAATCTGCTTGAACTTGGTTCATACTTCCACAGGAATTACAACTGAAATCCCAGTGTGAATTTTCTTTTTTGGATATTGACAAGATGATTCAAAATGTATATGGAAAGGGTGGCACCTGTGGCTCAAAGCAGTAGAGTGCCAGCCCCATATACCAGAGGTGGCAGGTTCAAACCCAGCCCCGGCCAAAAACGGCAAAAAGAAAAAAGAAAAAATGTATATGGAAAGACAAAAGAGCTAGAATAATGAAACTGAAAAAGAAGAAAGTTGGAAGGCTCATTTGTGCCATGTTAAGACTTGCCACAGAGTTACCGTAGTCAAGACCTTCTGGTTCTGGCAAAAAGGGGGTGGGGGTTCAGTGGCACAGAATAGAGAACCAGAAGCAGAGCCACACAGACCTAGTGAATTATACTGGACAGACGGGAACCCAGTTCAGTACAGGAAGGATGTTCTGTGAAAAATGGGGCTGGAACGACTGGGTATTCATTTATAAAAAACATGAACTCTGATTCCTACCTCACATTCATACCCAAACTAACACAAAACAGATCATCAATTAAATTTAAAACATTAAAAATTATAGAAAAAACATGGGAGAAAAAATATGTGACCTTGGGTGCAGCAATTAGTTTTTAGCTATGATACTAAAAGCAGAATCCATAAAAGAAAAAAATCAAAATATTGGCCTTTCTCAGGATTAATAACCAGAATCAACAAGGAACTCAAGGAAATCAACAAGAGCAAACAACAACATCAATCCCGGGGCAAGAGACACAAACGGAGCCTTCTCTCAAGAAGACAGACAAATAATACCCATCATTCCTAATCATCAGAGAAATGCAAATCAAAACCACCCTGAGATAACACCTAACCCCAGTGAGAAGGCCCACATCACAGAGTCCCAAAGCTGCAGATGCTGGTGTGGATGAGGAGAGAGGGGAACTTACACACTGTTGGGATTGCAAATTAATACAGCCTTTTGGGAAAGAAGTAGAAAGAATCCTCAAAGAGCTAAAAATAGACCTTCCATTTGATCCCCCAATCTCAATACTAGGTATCTTCCCAGAAGAAAAAAATCATTTTGTCCTAAGGATATTTGTGCTAGGTTGTTTACAGCAGCTCGGTTCACAATCACAAAGATGTGGAAACAACCCGAGTGTCCATCAGCTCATGAACGGATTAGTAATGTCCACCATGGAATACTATTCAGTCATAAAAAGATGGGGACTTTACATGTTTTGAATTTCTCGAGCTGGAGTCAGAGAACATTTCCTTTAGTAAAGTAGCACAAGAATGGAAAAGCAAGTATCCAGTGTGCTCAACACTGATATGAAACCAGCAGATGAACAGCTACACAACCACATGGGAGAAAACTGAATTAAACTCAAGTGAGGGAGAGGAAGGAGGGACAGGAGAGTGGGGAGGGGGGATCTGGTGTCCTCACGCCGAATGGGCACAGGGAAAGGAATCTGGGACATCCCTGGGTGAAGGGCTCAACTACAACTTGGACTTCATAGAACAGACACAAACAAGGTAACCTAATTGTTTGTACCCTTATATGAATCTGAAATTCTGAAAAAAAGAATGGAAAAGCAAGCATCCCATGTAGTTAATACTAATTTGAAACTAGTAGATGAACAGCCACAGACCCATGTGAGAGGGAGAGGGAAGGGGAGGAGGAGGTTCTGTAAGTTCCCAACTAACAGGTACGATGAGGCATATGGAACAGCTCCTGGGTGAAGGACTCAACTACAGCTCAGAGGTCACCTAACAAATGCAAGCGATGTAACCTAAATATGTAGGACTTTACATCAATCTGAAATCTGAAAACAAGAAAAATTGGCCTTTAGAAATATTTACAATTTCTGCCGTGTAAAGATGCTGTTAAAAACAATAAAAGGATAAGCCACAGGCTGGGAGAAAATATTTACAAATCACATAAATCCAATAAAAGAACTGTATTCAAAATTTAAAAACGGCTATCATTATCTATTTCTGCCAGTCTTCCCCTACGGACTGTGAGCTCCTTGAGCAGGAAGCAGGA